AACATAATATAGTATAGTATAGTATAGTATAGTATAGTATAGTATAGTATAGTATAGTATAGTATAATATAATAGCTATACATATATATATATATACACATATAAAGGCTGTTTATATACACTGAGCAAGGTCACTATGTAGGTACATGAACCCCCCCCCCCCCCAAATCTTTGACGCATAATATCCTACATTTGGATATGGCCTATGCGAGGATGACTCTGCTAATCATATCGAAAACCCCAAGCCCCAAACCTGAAACCCTAAACCCTGGACGCTCAACGACAACCGTAAACCCTAAAACCTAAACCCTGGACGCTCAACGACAAACAGAGTCATCGTTCAAGGACGTTCAAGGACTACGGCTTCGGGTCTAACATAGGGCCGTACGAACTGTTGAAACGGCTTTGGGGCCGGTTAGGGTTGTGGTGTAGTGTAATCAGTATTGTGATTTTCGAACCTCTACCAAGGAAACCTAAAATAAGTAGTTGTAATGATCCAGGCTTTTGTTCTTATTAAATTAGTATGGAAGGCTGAGTCATGTCCGACCACGTCGTGAGGCCTCCACGTCGTGCGTTCCGCTCCTCAGCCGCGGATGCATAGAGTCTCGGGGTCCCAGCTAGTCCCAGATGATGGTTGTTGGAACCCTACTACCTATAGTCTCCCTGTAGTTCCTTTTTGGGGTTACCGTTTAGGCTCCTTAACATAAAATTGGCTGAACCCAAAAAAAGGAACTCCAACGGAAACTATAGGCAGGCACTTAGGGTTTAGGGCTAGGTGCCTTAATGTGGGACCCTCTACTATTAACGGGTGCTTTAGAAGAATCCCCTTGCCTTCGACTCTTTGTGTGAGCTTTCGGGGTCCCTGCCAAGACTAATGAGCCTCAAGTTGTAGCTCCTTTATTGGGGTCATGTAGAGGCCTTAATAACTAAAATAGGGTTTTGGGGGTTCCGTATTCATAGTTATAGTATAGTATACCCCCGAACCCTATTCTAATTATTCAGGCCCCTATATGAACAGAACATCGATGCCAGCAGTTCCCTTGAATTCGTTTAGCTATGGACACGTCCGTGTGACTTTCCGCCCAGCGCAGAAGAAGAAGGCCCCTATATTA